TATATATATAAACACACATAAACACACACACACACATATATATATAAACACACATAAACACACACACACGTGGGCATGGGAGGATGTTTGTATTTATTTTTCTTCTAATCTTTTCAGTACAGCACACATATGAAGAAATCAGTGGATTGTAGGAGTTAACACCATCATAAACACTAACCACATACGTGAGGCAGCGTGGTGGAATCAGGCTCTCGTCAATTTTTGGGCATGCAGAGTTATTGGTACCACCCTAAAGCTTGTTTACTTGTCTTTATTTGGATTTTTAAAAAAATCCTTTTATCTTGAATACAAGTCGAGATATTTGCGAATGAAGGAGGTGGGGTCACCTGTTTTCAGAGGTTAAATTAGTGAGAAAATGGCTACCAAAGATTACTTATTTCCTTAGCTTTAGAGTCCGTGGTAACAGGAAATTTACATTTTTTTATGCCTTTAATCAACGTTTTTCAGAAAATCCAAACAGATAAATGAGTTCGTTAATGGGAATGAAAGGTGTTGTGTCAAAAAATAATTGGATGAAAATTCACAAACCTGTGGAAAAATGCAACTTTCTTCATTTTAATTATTTTGACGAGAGCCTGATTCCACCACGCTGCCTCACATATATCTGGAGGCGGGCTGCCTCGACCACGCCTGTCAGGGCCAAACCAAGCTGAGAAGAATACAATGTCCCAGTAGACAGACAGAAATACTGGAGAAAAATATAGTTCTCCCTACACGGAAATCGAACTCACATGATTTTGTGCAGTTGAAAATATAACCTTATGCAGTTGCAAGTGCTGTAAAAACACTCACCAAAACGAAACGAAATTAAACTTTCCGCCTTTTCTGTGTGCGACGGCGAAGCATAAGAAATCAGTTCACACATTTACGTATGTCGCCTTCCATTTGATCTCGTGTGAGAAGAAAAGGCGGCGCTCTATAAAGACAAGTAGTATAAAAGACACATCTCGTTAAAGTCGTATAGATATAGCTAGGGGCCTATGTTGAACGAAAATATTCGCGGTATGTTAGCTCTCACACTACACCGGCCGAGTGAAAGACACGAGCTGAAGAGGGTGTTTCTCTTTGAGGGGAAATTACTTTTTTAGCATGCACATGGATTTTTGTAAGAAGAGCCTATTAAAAAACTTGGCACCGATTCTGTCATGGATTTGGAAGATTGTTTTTGTTCCTAGTTAATCAAGACGAAGCCGTGTCAGAAAAATCCCCATTTTCCACCTGTTCATAATGCGTGTACATAAAAAGACATAATGTATTTTCGTTCTCTGTTCCTTTTTAATCCCCTTCCCTGTCTCTCTCTGTGTGTGTGTGTGTGTGTGTGTGTGTGTGTGTGTGGTGGATGATAGTTGTGTGCTTTTTTTTAATTTCCTTTTGAATCTTATTATTTAAAACCGATGTCATTTGTTCAACAGAAAGAATTGGTGTTTGGTGAGACTGATGGCGTGATCTGAAACTTCTACTTCTCGTTTAGTTTTACTTTTTTCTTCATGTGCATCCCGGTGACATTTTACAATTACTGCTCTAAGACTCGCAAGAAGCTGCTACTAAACAGCATCAACTAGGAGAGTTTTTTGTTGTTGTTGGGTTTTTGTTTTGTTTTTTGTTTTTTTTTGGGGGGGGGGTAGGGGGTAATGAAAAGTGTCTAGATTTTTGTTGCTTTTTTCGTTTGTTTTTTTAGGGAGGGGGCGTCTTTTCTTTTCGAAGATTGTCCCATTCCATAGCTGATCTAGCAATACAACAATATAATAAGCTAAAAAAAAAAAAAAGAAACTTACACAACGTTATTATAAAATTTCTCCCTTTCACACGCCACGCCCCCTCCAAAAAAGTGTGCATAATTTTTTTTAACCTATCATTTTATTTTTCCTCAGGCCCTAGCGAGAGAAATGAACTAAAAACGGAGGATTTGTGCGTGTTCCGAGACGACCCATCGCCATTGCAGGACACATATCGAAGCTACTACTACAAAAACCTCGTCCGTAAGCAACATAGTGTTAATGTTTTGAACTTAACCGAGTAAAATTAAAGTCCAGCACCACAATGTTTGCTATAACTTGATTACTTTTGTCGGCTCACCTTAAAAATAATCATTCTAGCCCTCTAATAATTGGGAACGTCTGTTTTCGAAATATTGTATTATAGTACACAACGTTTGTGTTATACTGTACCTGGTTGTTTTTGTTTCTTTTTACGGGGTGGGGGGTGTAGTTGGTTGCTGTTGTGTGTTTTTTTGTTAGTTTTTTTTTCTGTTTTGTTTTGTTTTGTTTTGTTTAGTTGTTGGGTTTTTTTAATTACCAGCATCTGTAGTGTAGCAATTAGGCACTTCGCCACCATAGGCAAAAGACTAGAGTTTGATTCCTGTGTTTTGAGTATTTTCATCGAATATCTCAGGGGGTTTTTGACAAGCAGGGTCGAAACCCACCGCCTAAACAATCTAAATTGAATCAATGAGGGCATTAAAAAAACCTTAGTTGACCCCAAAAAAAATGAAGTGGCGCGATCGCTGACCAATTGTTTTCCAAGAAAGTTCTGTGTGTATTTTATTGATGTATACGTCTGTATGTGTGTATGTGTGTGTGTGTGTGTGTGTGTGTGTGTGTGTGTGTGTGTGTGTGCATGTGTGTGTGTTTGTGTGTGTGTGTGTGTATGTGTGTATGCATATTATATGTGTATGTGGTATCAGTTGCATGTGTTCCAGAAATATTTCGTTGAACTCGTATACGTGTTGAAAAAAGCAAGAAAAGACACATAAATTGGGTATAATTTTGAAACGAATGAAACAGTTTCTCTCTCTCTCTCTCTCTCTCT